TATCCCCCTTCACCGCATCCCCCACCTTGGCAGAGGAAGGCTGATCCTGACAGAAGCCCGTCTGTTCATTCCACTGGGCAACATTTGGTCCAGTTCAGCCGGAAGAGACCAAAGCTGCTAAAGTAACCCCAAGAATGTGCATACAGAATATTCCTTGCCACCACAAAGAGAGTTTGGTCTCAACCTGTAGGGCAGATTCTTCCTATGTAAAGTTGCCTTCATCTTCTTGGGACAATCTCTACCTTAAGATTATCACTGACAAGAGAACTGGAAGCGTGTTTAGAAGGGTTTGCAAAACTCTAGAACTCTTAGTTCAGAGATGATACCTTTTATTAGACCAACTAAGAAATCGCAAAACAATTTTTTTTTCCCCAGGAGTATTCACCAGCAGACATGGAGGCTGCTTCCTCCAGGGATGGTTGCTGGAGGATTCTGGCTGCTGACAAGAGCATCTCCCCTCCTTTAGTTGTCCACTGGCCTCTCCATCATACCAGAAGCTGGGAGAAGTGAGGAAACGGCCATTTCCCTGAGCTAGAGCATTTTATCCCACACCAAACCCCACGTGCAGGGATGTGTGTAATGGCAAAAAGCAACGTCACAAATTTGTGCCATTACTATTCTTGTCACAGCAAACACACACCCCTGAATGTGCATATTCATCTGGACATGCCCCTGCGCCATGACCAGACGTGTGAACATTTGGTTCCCCACGCGGCAGCACACCGTGTGCCACTGCTAGTTGTCCTAGGGAACGCCCATGCCACACACACTCTGGTGTTGGCAGTTTACCCCAGGTGGGGTAGATGGTATGGTACCAGCCAGAAATAAGTATTTTGGCTACATCCCTAGGGTGATGTTATCTCCTCTCAAAAATGAGGATAGCTACTGTAATTTAAAGGAGAGAGGGCCTCTATATGGCTTTGAAAGAGATGAAGCAAAAAGGTATCTTTTCTCCAGTGGCTTCACAAAATAAGAAATTCAGTCTGCAATGGTGCCAGCCAGACTACAAACTATACCATCAATACCACCCTTCTTGGTAAAAGATACAGTGCATTTTGTAAGAGAATATATTCAACCCCAGAAGTGCTGTAATCTGAATTCATCTCTATTAAAAATTGTCCATTCTTTTCAGATTATGGTAAAGCATGGTATTAGGCCACAAAGGAAAACATCAAAGTAGATTTTAGGTATTTAAAAACTCTATAGGATATTTTACACAAACATGGAGAATACTACTTAAGATGACTGCTGGCTACTAGGCCTGTGTGAAGCGGCTAGTATTCACTTCGGATTTGGATTCAGCCGATTCGGGGGACAGCGATTCGATTTGGTGATTCGAATCACTGTCCTGAATCGATTTGGCCGAATCTGATTTGGAGATTTTGCTGCTGCCAAATCTCCGAATCAGCCAGGCCCATCCCCCCCCAGCCCAGCAATGGCTGCGCCACCTGCCCCAGCTCCCAACACTTGGGGGGAAAAAAAAGCCCTGACTCAGTGGGTGCTACCGGGCAATCCCCACTGCCCCCCACTGCCCCACGCTGCATGGGAGGCTCTACATGAGCCCCCAACCCCCTGCTTGCTCCCCCAGCCCCACCCCCATAGCTTTCCTGCCCACCGCAGCTCCAGCCCTTTAAGAAAAAAAAAAAAGAGAAAACCCCCCACTCACTGTTCCTGCCGGTGGGAGGGGTACCTGCTGCTCCCCACTGCCTGGGGGGGGGCC